CTTGAAGACGATTTCTGAGGGGAAAGTGGGAGCAAGAAAAGGGAGCCTCTCAGCCCTCACACAATGGAGCCTAGGGTCTCCTCCCCAGCCGCAGACCCTTCCCAAGCCCCCATCTTCTTTGACGCCAACTCCAGGCACTGGCTCATTTTCCTTTTCTTTTAACTGCTGCCATCACTCAGTCCAGACCCCAAGAAAGCCTGCCTGGGGTGCTCTCCCCTGCAGCCACCACAGGCAAGCAAACGGACTTTTTCATTTTAACGAAGTGTATTGCCACTCACCAGGGGACAGCAAAATTGATAAATAAGTTCAGTTTTTTTTTTCTCCATTTGCAAGCAAACTCTGTATTCTGGCCATGAACCACTTGTAACAGGCAGCACAATTAATGTTTTTCCTACAAGTAATGTTTTTTCCCCATGTGGCTTTGTTTGTTTTTAAATATGCTTTTTTTTTTTTTCCCTGAATTAAGGTTCTTTTAGTTGCTAGTATGGAAACAAACTCTGGAAAGCTTCAAGAACAACAATGAAGGAACTTATTAAATGTGTATTATCTCATGAGATCTGCTTTAGTTTTGTCACGTTCCTTTAGTTTGTCATGTTCCGCCCCCCCCCCACCAATTTCCACTGGAATTAGGTCACATCATTTCTACAGTAGTAGGACACAAGCAGGATCCTTACAGCCGAGTCTTCCCATCTAAGATCATGGTGTGCCTCTCCATTGATTCACATCTCTTTCCCTAGAACAGCTTTTATACATTTCTTGAGTTTCTTTCCCAATAGTCCAGACTTCAGGTTACCATTCTGAATACGGCAACGAAGACAATATTAGAGTTTAAGAAGCTCAGGCCACTTGACGTGGGAGGTTCTTCTAAGGAAGTACCTGGACAAGGATGCATTTGTGTACACTAAGAAAATGCTGGAACTACCCTAAATATCAAGAGTAGGAGATTCTTCAAACAAACACTAGTATACCCACAGTAATAGACTTTCAAAATCTAGATTTTCTTATGGTTGCAACACATTAGTGGTAGAGCCATAATCCGGAAGCCAGTTTTGTCTGATATCGCAGTCTGTTCTTTACCCCAAGGGTCTGCGTTTCACATTGACCTCACGTGGGCTAGTTCTCTAGGCAAATAGGGCAACAAACTTGGAGAAGCAGCTACTGCAGAGCAGCTTATATCGTCAAGGCGAATGGATACTTTAATTTTCTTCTTTTTTTTTTTGGTGAGGAAGATCGGCCCTGAGCTAACAGCTGCCAATCCTCCTCTTTTTGCTGAGGAAGACCGGCCCTGGGCTAACATCCATGCCCATCTTTCTCCACTTTATATGGGATGCTGCCACAACACGGCTTGACAAGTGGTGCGTCGGTGCGTGCCAGGGATCCGAACCGGTGAACCCCGGGCTGCCCCAGCGGAGCGCACACACTTAACCACTTGGGCCACCAGGCAGGCCCCTACTTTAATTTTAATAATAGTGAAAGTTGATACTTGTTTGCTAAATTCCAGACAATGTGCAAAGGTTTAAGATCATTGTCCCATTCAATCCTCCATGGACCCCCTGGAGGTGGGACTTGGGTTATTTTATGAACAGTGGGATGGGCTTGAGTTTGCTCTACCATTAGGTCCCTCAGCCCCACTTTGCCTTCCAAACAAAGTTTGGGGGGGGGATGTTGCTACAGGTGCATTCAGTTTTTTTTTTTTATAATTTTATTTATTTATTTTTTCCACCAAAGCCCCAGTAGATAGTTGTATGTCATAGCTGCACATCCTTCTAGTTGCTGTACGTGGGACGCGGCCTCAGCGTGCCTGGAGAAGTGCTGCGTCCCTGCGCGCCCGGGATCCGAACCCTGGGCCGCCAGCAGCAGAGCACGCGCACTTAACCGCTAAGCCAGGGGCCGGCCCAGGTGCATTCAGTTTTTAGTCTTTAAATACACTGCTTGTAATTTCGAAAGATCTTCCTGTTGTAGGTGTTACACTTACAGTTAGGTAGCCTGTTCCAGAAATATAAACTGAACTAGAGAATTTTTTATAATGGTCCAAAGACAAATTATTCAACTAAATCAACAAATTGTGTAATTGCTATATATATATAAAAAACAATTTTTATATATAAATATATATAATAATATATATAAATATATATATTTAAAACAAAAAAATCACAAATTAAAATAGTTAATTGAAACTGAACAGTCTTGGATAAAACACAATTTCTCAAAATGTTATTGATTTAAAAGTTTTCCTGGGCCGGCCCAGTGGCTTACCGGTTAAGTGCGGTGCTCTGCTACTGGCGGCCCTTGTTCGGATCCTGGTCGTGCACCATAGCACCGCTTCTCCGGCCATGCGGAGGCCCCGGGTCCCACATACAGCAACTAGAAGGATGTGCAGCTATGACATACAACTATCTACTGGGGCTTTGGGGGAAAAAAAAAAAAAGAGGAGGATTGGCATGGATGTTAGCTCAGGGCTGATCTTCCTCAAAAAAAATAAAAATAAAAATAAAAAAATAAAAGTTATCCTGAATGTGTTGGCAGTTTTGATGAACTGCTTTCTCCTCCCTATGTAGATTTTGTGCACATAATATATAATCATTGACTTTACTAAAAATACATATGCCTCATTTCTTTCAGCAACGTTGAGAATCTATTGTCTTTGCGGTACCAAGAGGTGCGTTTCTAAAAGAGGAAAATGGTCATTTTGGGTTTGGGGTCTGATCACCCACAAACGGCTGGTTCTTATTTGGAGCAGACGGTTCCAGAAGTTTATCTGTAAAGGGAAAACCATTCAAGTGCTATTTGGACCCAAATTTCTAAGGAAGGAAAGGAGGAAGTGGTGGCCTCTGAAGATAGAGCCTGCGTTCCGTCGTGACTGGGGATGAGGACCGAGGGGCTGCCCGACTCCAGAAAAGGGCGTGCAGGGCTGCGCTCCACCGCTGTCCCGGCCCGCGGGGTTCTTACTCTAACACCACACAGTGCCGCACCTGGCTGGGAGAGGAGGGCAGCAAACCAAACCCTGCTCCCCGGGGCACTTCAACTTGTAAATCCCCTGACTTCCTTTACAGACCTCTGGACACGCTAAAACAACCGTCAGCCTTGAAAGAGGGAAAATCCTGGTGGGAATTTATGTAAATGTGGCCAGACACAGAAGAAAGTAAAAAGCAAACCATGATTTGGGTTATTTTTGGCTTCGGAAAGAAAGCCCCGAGTACAGAAGGAAACCGGCGCGCTAAGTTCCTTTCTAGCTCAGGGCGCGCTCAGGCATGGCCGTGTCTTCACCAGAAATCACCGTTTTCTCGGCCCCCCACCCTCCCGGTCCCTGCGGCTCCCGCGTTCTGAGCCCACCTGGAGTTCGTCGGGGCCGACCGTGATCACCACGGCCGGTCCGGATCAGCGCGGCGTAATACCAGGGGCTCAAGTGGTCTCCTAGATCAAACCTCGCTCCAGTCCCCACCGCTCGCCCGGGATGTTTTTGACCGTGTTCCCCCACTGTGCCCCTCAATTAGCCCGCCCAGGTCTGGGGTCTCAAGCTTGTCCCCCAGTGGCTGCGTCCGCCCGGTTTGGTTCACCTTTGGGCACCGAGGGCCTCCCATGGGCTGGCACCTGGTGGTCACGCTGTCAAGAGCGGTGGAAAGAAAGGAAAAAGGAGGGAGAGCGGACGGGGGGGGGGGGGTCTCTGTGGACTCTGATTCTGCCCCTGGACCCACAACCTTCCTGCCAAAGATGCAAAACGCCGGACGCAGGCTCCGGGCCCTCACTACGGCGCCTCCACGCACAGCCTATTCCACGAGGATTTGGCCCACTGTGCATCCTCCTTCCCGAGGTCAGGGCTCCTCACGGCAAATCCTCGTTCGAGGAGAGGCCAAGCTCGGGCCAGGGGGGCGCTGTGACTCGGCCGCGGCGGTGGCCTGCGGCCCTGCTCTCTGCATTTGGCAGCCAGCCTCGGAGTCAGCGCCCGGTCGCGGCCTAGGTTAATCCGTCTCGACACCCCAGATCCAGGCACAGTGACATTGGCTAGGAGTGGGAGAGGAGGGAAACACTCACCGCTCTGGCCTGGAGCTGTCCCTTCCCACCCAAACGTTCCCCCCTGGGGCTCCTGGACTCCTCCCCACTGTCGCTCTTTTAGGAGTACCCTGCAAGCCACAGTTGGCCCGGGTTCTGCGTGACCTGGGGACTCTGGGTCCTCCCTTCTGGGCTGGGACTTCCCCGTGGCAGCCGGGAGCTCCCAGTTCAGAGGGGCACAGTCAGCAGCGCAGCGGGTCCCGGGTCCCTTCAGTGGACTCCACTTCCCCTGCATCCTCTTGTCCTCAGTGGCCGGTGCGCCCCGGGGATTCCCCGGTCTGGAAGCCGGGAGTGGGACTGGCCCCGGAGCCCAGACGCCCGGAGCGGAGAAAAAATAGTCTCGGTGCCTCCGCGGCGGAGAAACTCCCCCCGCCCCGGCCGCGAGGCCTGACGCCCTGGGCGGCGGCCAGCCTCGGGGGGTTGGATGTTCCCGACGCGGGAAACGGGCTCAGCCGCGGCGTCCCTCCACCCCCACCTTCGCCCTTATCCCGGGAGCCGGCGGAGGGGAGGGGCGGGGCGGCTGGCAGCAGGCGACACTGGTGTTCCGGTTCTTTAGTTATTGCTTCTGGTCCCGCCGCGAGTGCACTTCTCAGGTCCGGGGCAAAGCAGCCAGAGGCACTGCCCCCACGGTGCCGAGAAGCCCTTGCTTTGCTCTTAACTTTTGCCAGGAACGGGCGAGGGGCGGGGGACCCTGGAGCACGAGCCTCTCCACATGCGGCGGCCCCGCCCGCCTCCGGTCCTGGTCCCCGCCCGCACCCGTCCTCCGCGCTCGGAAAGCCCCCGTGGCTCCTCCCACCCCCGAGGGGCTTTCTCCAGCCTCCAGTGACTTTAGTCTTCTAGCGCACGCTCCTTTCCTCCGGTCTGGAGCGCGCCGAGCGCAGCTTTTCTGGGGCCGCAGGGGACAAGGGACGGTGACCTCCGAGCGCGCCCGGCAATCTCGTTTCTCGGCCTGCGCCCTGGCCCCCGGCCCGCGCCCCGGCCGCCAGCATGGTGTTGCTGGCCGGGCCCGGGCCGGAGGGCGGCGGGGCGCGCTGTGTGTCTCCGCAGCCGCCCTCCCCGCCCCGGGACACGGAGGTCGGGGAGGACCCCGCTGACTACGAGGAGTACGAAGACTTCTCGCGTCTTCCGGACACCCGCAGCATCGCTTCGGATGACTCGTTCTACCCTCCTGGAGGCGAGGAGGAGTACGGCGCCGTGAGCGCGGAAAGCGTCCCGGAGGGCGTCCCGGAGGCGGCGACCCTCCTGCGCGCCGCCTGCGCCAACGACGTGGGGCTGCTGAAGGCGCTGGTGCGGCGGGGGCCGAGCGCTGAGGAGGTGCAGGAGACCGACCGCAACGGCCGGGTAAGCCGGTGTCCCCTCAGGGTCTGGGTCCCCTCCGCCCTCCCTCTCATTCCCCGCGCCACCTGGATCCCGACTCTGTTCGGGTCCCGCGGTGCCTTTGCCGCTGTTAAGAGCGCCTTTTCCCGGCTCTCTGGGCGCGCGGCGGGTGTGGAGCCCTGAGTGGCCTGCCCATGCCCGGGCAAGTTTACCCTGCCCGAGGGCACCGCGCCGCGGGAGACGCCGCTGATCCCGCGTCCTCACCGCATCCCCTTCTTTTCCGCCCTCGGAGTCCTCTTGTCCCTGAAACCCCCCAGGGGCTCGCGCCCGGATCCAGGTTTGGAGCCACTCGCCGGGTCCTTCAACCCGGCCGCCCGCTGACCATTAACCTTCTCGCCTGCAGGGGAAACCCCTCCTGCCCTCCTCGGCCCTCGCGCCGCCACGGCCCTTTCCACGCCCGAACGTGGATGGGCACCCCTGGGCCACCCTGGTTCGGAGTTTCCTCCGGGACCGCCTGCTTACGCGCCCCGCCCCCCACGCCCCGCTGCGCCTCTTGACCCGCGTGGCGACCCGCCAGGTGATCCCCGACTAGGCTGTCTGCATGGTCACCGCCGCGAGCCAATGCCGCCCGCCCCCCACCCGCGAGGCAGGGCCTGGGGAGGGCAGCGGAGGGGCCGGCACCCGCCTGGTGGAGCAGGCTGGCATGGGGATGGGGAGACGCACGGGGTATCCATTAGTCATGTCAAGACTCAAACAGCAAGAAACCTTTAGAAAAGGAAAGAAAAGTTGGCTTGAGAAGGACTGGCTCGCCGAACACAACCCCCGAAGCACTGGGGGGAAACACAGCAGAGTGACCAGGCGGCCAAGTGACGCTTCTTCTGTGCCGGTGGACCAGCGGCAGCGGTCCCACCTGACTGTCGCGTTCCCTGGGTCCCGCGGGCTCTGCCGCCTCAGTCTAGCACAAATTAGGAATGCGCGTGGTTCTGCTCCGGAGCGCACAGCTGATAGGAAATATGTGCATTTACTTGGGGGCAGGCCGGTTTGTCCCTAACTGTGGTCTGCGCTGGGCTTAGGCGTGTGGGAGCCGGGAGCGTCCCTTTCTGCTCCCACACTTGTGCGTCTGACTTGACACGGCGTTTGGACTTGGGGAAGGGTCTGCGGTTGGTGTCATGTGTCAGGCAACGCTGGCCCGGAGGCCCCTAAGGCTGGGAGAGCTGAGGTGGGCCCTGGGGGCAGCGTCGCTCTACCCCTGTCCTCTCCGTGGGTGGGGCCAGCGATCCGGGCCGTTTTGGCGGCTCTACTTTCGCTTTTACTAAGGTGAATTTTCACACACGCCTGTTTATAGGACACCTCGCTTTCCTGAAGCAGGCAACGGCTTTAGAGGAAGCCCCTGAAGGATCGGGAAGAACACGGGTGGGGGGTCTCTCCTGTGCCCTGGGCGGCCCAGCGGTCTCCAGAGGGCTGGGTTGGGCACGGGCAGGGGCCTGGCTCGCCCAGCCCCCACTGGGCTCAGCTTTATGATGTTTTCTTTGGGGGCAAAAAATACAAGTTTGAAAACAGCTGCGTTGGAGCTGACTGAGAACAACGAAAACCATCCCCAGGGGGCTTGGGCCTGGCTGAGTTTCTGGGCCAGTTTTGAAAGCCCCTCCCTCAGCGCAGAGTTAGGGGAGGGCAATGGAACGGGGAGGCAGGCTCCAGCCCCTCAGCGCCTCTCTGTCTCAGTTTCCTCGGCGTCAAATAGGGCTAATGACAGCTTTGCCTCCTGGGGTTGTGAGCGTGAAAGGCCCTAACGCACACAGCCCTCTGACGCGGGCCTCATTTACCATCCTGGTCTCTCTCTCGCCTGCTGTCTCTCTGCTCCGAAGAGTGCGTCCTCCCGCTGTTGCTTTTTTTTTCTCTTCTGCCAGGCAAAGCTGTTTTTCTCTCTGCTTTCCCTCTTAATGACGGAGTCTCTCTTTGTTTCTCTGCTTTGAGTCTCCTCCCCTCTGCTCCGCACCAAATCGTGATGGAAAAATGGTACATGGTGGACGAGCTGCAGGACCCCTGGGCTCTTTTATCCTCTGATGGGAAGGAGCAAGCCCTGTGTCCTGTACTGTGAGCGGGGAAAGGCGGGAGTGCCTCTTCTGCCCAGCGGCTTCTGGATGCTGTTGATCAAACAGCCTCTGCCTTCCCGAAAAACTTCACTTCCTGTGGCAAGTGGAATAGTGAGTCATTGCACGAGTGTATATTGCAGACCTACTGTGTGCGAGGCACTGGTTAGGTGCGTGGGTGACTCGAAGATGAAACAGTCCCTGCCTTTGAGAGTCTTAACCTTTTAGTCCAGAAGAACTCAGAGAGTAAGAGTACTCGGTGCTTAGAGAGTAACAGTACCCAGTGCTTCGAGAGTAAGGGTACCGGTGCTTCCAGCCAGATGCAGGAGATGAGAAGGCACTAAAGAGATGGGGAGCAAGTGTCTTGAATGCGGAAGCTGGGACAATCTGGAAGCTGAATGAGGGGAGACTTTTGGAAGCAGTGGCTGGAGGATGTTCTAGTCAGGCAGATGGAGCCAAGGGGGTGGCAGCAGGGACAGGGTGGTTGGTGGTGGTGACGCGTGGAGAGGGGACAGTGTGGGAGCTGAAGCCGGAGAGGCCAACCTGGGCCGGGTGATGAGAGGCCGGCCCGGAGTAGCTGCCTAAGAAATAGGAAGTTGGGAAACAAACTGGTTTCAGCATGCCAGTGTCCAAACTTGGGGCTGTGGTGTGCGTTCCCTGATGGTCACATGACCCACTCACTGACTGCCTTCCGGTTCCTGTCGTAGTGCATTTTCTCAGGGAGGCCTTTCCTCCTACCTCTAAGCCCACAGCACCTGGAGCTGAGTCAGGGCAATCCAGGTGGCCAGGGCTTGAGAGCCAAAACTGTAAATAGGGTGGTCCTTTGAGAGAGCAAGTGACATTTGAGTAAAGATGGAGAGAAGATATTTGGGGAAGAGCACTCCAGAAAGAGGGAACAGCAAGTGCAAAGGCCCTGAGGCAGGAGCCCTTTGGGCCTGGTCTATAAGCCGATCTTGATTAGTGGCAGTAAAACCTTACAGAGAGCCCGAGAGCTTTCATGGAGTAGAGGGATAACTGCATTAACTACAGAATGAAGTCCTCGAGGGTACCGCCCGCAGCCAGCTTCCTAGAGGAAAAATGGCTCTAACGGCTTTTTCTGGGGTGTGTTTCACGAGCCGCTGATCTCTGGTCAGTTAAGACGGGAGCTCTGCTGAGCTGACAGATGTTTCCTTCGGTTTGAGTAACTAAGGATCGGTTGTGTTTTGTTTAAAAAAACGTGTTCTTTCCTGGCTCCTGAGATTGGGAGAATCTTGGCTGTGGCTCAGCACACAATTTTCTAAAATATTCTAAAATATTTATTACTCTAAAAAGACTGCATAATTTAATATGCAACATGTAAATATTTGTCAAATAATTCTCCAGTAACATTCAAAGTGTTCTCTCCCTGTCTTTTAGATTTATGGTGCTTTTGTTCCCTCTGACTTGGGGACAGTGAAAGCTGCCATCATTCTTTTTCTGAATTCTTCTCCTCCACTTATTATATGCCGAGGTTCACCTTTAGGGCCGTGATGGCTCTGGAGACAGCACTGAGACCAAAGGAAGTGTTTGTGCTGTTGTCATTGTTGCAGAACGGCGGTTTGAAATGTCAGACAGCTCTTGAACCAAATTAGGCCCAATTATGCTAAATTTAAAATATTGCACTCCTTTCTCTATGTAATGTTTCCCATGCGTGTTTAAATTCTAGGGCTTCTCGGCGAAATTTTCCAAAGGCCCCTCCACCCATTTGCTCTGTTGGCTCAGCAAAGCCCACCCCACACACCCAGCATGGGGGTGGGGGGTGTCTCCCTTTACCCTTGTGGGGCTTAAAGGTTTATAGATTTGTAGTGGGAACTGGGACCTTTATCTTGACATATACATGAGAAATTTTTTTTTTTCCTTTTTGTTGGATTTTTGAATGCCACAGAAAGATGTATAAACTTTGGAATCACTTTTCCCTAAAATGAGAGTTGAGTTGTTTGGAATTCACAGCCAGCCCCTCCTCCTTTACCAGGCCTCAGGGTTCAGGACCTGCACTGGGGCTGGTTAGTATAGAGAGTGAATGCTGGCCCCATCGGCACAGGGGGAGCCTGGCTTGCTGTTTGGGGGTGTCTGTTAGTGTGTTAGTTGCAGAGTCTAAAGCATGGGGAGGGGATGAGAAGGGAGAATGAGCAGGTTAGACTGGGAGCTGAGGGGCTGGAGCAGAGAAGTGGGTGAGCTGAAGTGGGCCTGGAAGACCTGGGCTTCCTCTTCCACTGACCAAGGCAGGGCCTGGGGTGCTCTGGGCCCAGCAACAGTAGAGACGCCCATGTGTTTTGTTTTTCTGTTTAAGGACTTAACTTTTTTTTAGAATAGTTTTAGGTTCACAGCAAAATTGAGAGGAAGGTACAGGGATTTCTCAGGTACCTCCTGCCCCACACCTGCCCAGCCTCCCCCATTGTCAACATCCCCCACCAGGGTGGTACATTTGTTATAACTGATGAACCTACAGTGACACGTCATAACCACCCAAAGTCCATAGTTTACATTAGGGTTCATCCTTGGTGTTGTACATTCTGTGGGTTTGGACAGAGGTATAATGACATGTATCCATCATTATCATATATAGAGTATCCCATGTGTTCTTGATATAAGTGTATCAGTTATTTATGGCCACAACAATGCTGCATAACAAATAACTGTGAAACCTCACAGGTGTATACAACAGTAAACATTCTGCTAAAGGTGGCTCAGCTCAGCTGATCTCGGCTGGAATTGCATTCAGCTGGGATCAGCTGCAGATGGCAGGGCCAAGAAAGTCTTGGTTGAGGGGACTGGCCTTTGCCCCTCTGTGTGGTCTCTCATCTTCCAGCAGGCAGGGCTAGGCTTGTTCTCCATGGCGGGGCAGGTTTCCAAGAGAGCAGGCAGAGCAAATAAGGTTCAGTGTCACTTCTGCAGAAGTAAGTTACAAGGCCAAGC